TGAATGAAAGATCTGAAATCTTATAGAAAATTTATTGTGAACTTCAAATTTTTTTGGACTAATCCAGTCGGGGAAGATTTCGTTTCGGAGCAATTGCTAAATTTCAGTGAACACAAACAATTCGCAACAGTTGATGAATTGTAAAACTGTAAAAAGACTCGAGGTATATCCAAGTCTGCCGAGCAATTGAAGATTGACTCAGTGTTGCAAAAAGTAGCATTTCACGATAAAATGACGCTTCTTTTTACTTTAATATATCTCTGGATAAATTAAGGGTTTTGGCTCCGTGCGTGTCTGCCCAAATGAACCAACTCACAGCTACTTCAAAACTAAGCAAATAAAAATTTGTCACTCATACTGGAAGTATACGGCTTAATGGACTGAAATATTCTGTTTCATTTTTATTATACAGTTTTCGATAAGATATTCTTAAATAAAAATTGCATTTAGTACTTATTTTTATGTCGTTTTTCATATAATAATTTAAAAAATTCTAAATTGTTCTTATACTATTAAGATTAGATCTCTTCAAAAAAATTCAATTTAATTACAAATTCCAAGTTATTTTTACACAACTAAAATTTAAGTTCTTCAAGAAAATGCAATTTTTTTCAATCATTATTCAGTCTCGACTGCCCTATTCACGTTTATCAGTTGTAATCATAACAACGGAATCAGTAATGCTTTTCTCTAAATTCAATTATATGAAAAGCCTAAAACTTGAAATCAGAATGTAAGTCAGCGACAAATTTCAAAACGCTCACTGAAATTGCTCTCTATAAAAAATTGTCAACAGTCATCACTCGCTAGTAAGACTGTCGATGGCTCCCACTTTCGCGAGTTGCTTAACAGCAAGCTGATTATGGTAATTTCGGTTGTTTAATAAATGTCTAGTAAAAATTTTCGAATTCGTTGAAAAAAGCACACCTTGGAATTAAAAGGTGCGGCAAAAATCTTTTAAGAGCGGAATTTTTTGGAAGTTTGGAAATGTTAATTTCAAAAATATTTTTTTAATGTTTTTCTTCCAATAATGCAGTGTTACAGCATCTACTGATGCCCTACAGGATTTATCCAACATTCCGGACATCTGTCCTCTTTCTCTGAAATTTCCCAGGAAACATCGATTGTAAATGTTCGTTTGTGAGAATTTGAAAAAAGTTAATAGTAAATTTGCACAAGGGGAAGGAGGAGAGGGGATAGTGTTAGGTGTTGCGAACTAGCTGGTAGCAGAGTGCAGCCTCTTGACAGTTTTTTATTTGCGTTCGAGCTTAGCAAGAAGTAGTTTATCCAGAGCTGCAAAGCACACATCCCAACACTTTCCTCCAGGACGGATAAACACTTCAGCGGCCCCTTTCGTAGAAAAAAAATGCTTCACAGC